TTAATAAGTACCTATCATTGTACTGGCACCATCTGTACAAATATGCATTAAATCATTATATGATATATGTTTTGCTTGAAAAAACCGATTAATTTCAGCAATAATTGTATTTGCAGTACTATCTGTTAATAAAATTAATCCAAGAAATCGATAAATTGGTTTTGCTAGGGCAATTAAATATTTAGAAACAATGGCCAAGGTTTTTTCAGCAGATATAGTATTGCTTTCATCAATTATAAGACTCCAACCATCTAAATTACGTAGTTCTTGAAAAGTTTCTTGTTCTATAACACGATCAATTGATTCAATAAATTTACATGCTGAAACATTATTTTGATAACTACCATATGACGTTCGTTCATCATCATCAGCAAGCTGGTTATTATCAAATACATTTAAAATCTCAGTACTACATTCAAATTGGTTTTGGTCTTCACCACATTGAATTTTAGATAGCTTACACAAACTTTCAAATATATTGGTAGACAAATTATGTTAAATTAAAAAATATATATTGCGCATATTTCTCATAACCTTAATTTGATCGGTTCTAGCTTGAATAGCAAAACTAGAATGTAAGGTAATTTGAGATTGTACTCGAGCGGCACATACTATCCAATGATCACTAATATTAACGTGCCGGTCTAAGGATTGTTTTTTAAAGTATTCACAACCATTAGTAAACTTATTATTTTTACCAGCCTCTATACACCAACGACAAAACATAAATTTGTTTAATGGTCCTTCTTTACGATAAACCCAAGGATATAATTTAGGCCAATTTGGGTTCCAGTTTAATGATTCTTTAGCTAATCGTAGTACTTTAAGCTGATGAAGATTATTCTCACTTTCTTCAGTAGAAGATTCACTATCAACATTATTTGAATCTTCTTTTGATTGAGCAGCAATAGAAAATGGATTTATATCAATAGATTTGGGTTTTCGATTTGACATATTCAATACAAGTAATTGTTATCGTTTACGAATTTTAATAATTTTATATCATATTTATTGTTTATACTAACTTAGAAAAACCAATATTGGTCTTTCTATTTAACTTTATTAATACAAATAAATCATTGTAAATTTCTATGCAAACGATACATAGTTATGGTAGATTAGTGTCCAGACTTATGTGGTTTCAGAGATTTTTTATTGTTTAAACAATAAAAAATCCCTGAAATTACATACGTTTGGTAGATCTCTTACTATCGCTTCTCTCTTAGTTTTGCACATGTTTTACTTTCATTATATATCAATAATTTAAACATATTAAGAATAAACTTTTATAGTAAATAATAGGCTTCACCAATCTTGTATACATAAAAATGATAATCTATTTAAAGTTAAGGCATTAATTGTCATATAATATATTACATGAAAATACAAGGTATTCTTTAATAAAGATACCAAAGCATTCTTTAATAACGAATAACTTAAAGTCAGTATATATGTAGGAATATTTTAAATGAACATCCTATTATAGATTTGTGATTATGCTTTGGCGTCTTGTTGAATAAATATTTTTAAAGGTAAAATATTGGGCAATAGGAATTTTTAGAATAGAATAATCGTAAGTGATTATTTTTTATATGTGAATTGCGAGGTACAATAATGTATTAGTTAGTAATTTGTTTAAGACTGATATATCATGCAAATATTTATTTTTTATTTGCTATCACCCGTGCTATAGCAAAGAGCTGATTTTGTTGTTTTACTTTATCGACCTAGCTATTGAATATTTTACAATTAAAAAGCAATAAAGTTGATAATTATAGATTTATGATCTATAATATTTGTGGCTGCAAGGACAATGTGAGAACTTTGTATCAATAGGCTTCACTAGTTGATTTCAAGTCAGCTTTTAGTTAAACTGTTTCAAGTCGACTTCAATAATTAATTGATAATTAAATCTAATGTAGAAAAAATTAATATGCATGTTGTAGATATATGTTTCTGAGTCAGGAAATATGTGTCACAAAAGTATTTACAACACTAATACTATCTAATACTACACTAAACATTATTTAATCTACATTCTCATAGTGGAAGGTGTTGAAAGAGATGTGGAAGAGATTAGTGCCTTGAATTATATCACGAATCTCTCAAATTAGGATCATAGAACTTGTTGATTTATAACACTAACAATTATTTTATTAGTTCACAATATCTATCGGGGGAAAAACATCTAGTTGAGACCTCTTTTTAGTGTTAAACCCTAACGAGTTATCATTAGTGTTGTAAGCTAATATGCAGCTAGCGACTCAGTCGGCTTAGCCAACCCCTGATCAACTTAGTTGACTTGGTCAACAAAACTAAAAATTATTGGTCAAAGTTTAGTTATTGTCTCTTAAAATTTTTTCATTAGGTAATTTGCCTATTGTTTATAAAAAATATACGTGAGTTTATTATCGATAATATAAGTAATAAATCCTCGCTCTAATCATAAAGTAATAATATCCTGAATTAGCCTCTTAATAACTTAGTTGACTAAGCCGATGACTTAGCCGATGACTCAGTTAGTTGACTGTTAGTCGATCAACTAACAACACTAGTAATCATTTACATCACTGCGACTTTTTGGAATTAGGTACAAATTAAGAACCTCGAATTATTATTGAATTATCATGATTACTAATAATGATTATGTATCAACCACATGACATAATACTAAAACGAACCAAAAATAGAATAAATTCAATATAATATCAAACCTATCTCTCCGCCTTAAAACTCATTTCCTGTCGCTATAAAATTATTAAAATTCGTAAACGATAACAATTACTTGTATTGAATATGTCAAATCGAAAACCCA